AAATATGGAAGTTGGCAGTTGACTGAAGACGTCTCGGAATATTACCTCTGCCAGCTTGGTCAAAGCCATTCCCAGGGCCCACCCCATTCAAGGGGAGGGGAAACCAACTCTGCCTTCTCATGTGAGGAGCTACTTACACTCCAGGGGTGGGAGGAATTATGTGTGGCCATATTGGAAACTTTATATCACAGCTGGAATTTTACTTGGACACTGACTTTAGGGCTTGGAAGAATTTCACAATTAGCCTTTGAACATTTTTGTGTCTAGCTTGGGGAAAGTATGAGAGCAAATTGTAGAGGAAGGGATCTTGCTCTTTCAACAAAGTTAGTTTCTAGGTTAAGAGCATCTGATTCTACAAAAACAATTCAGGTTTCTAAACTCCATCCAACCCTTGGCAGATCACTTCAGAAATTTGCCTTTTAATCGTCCATCTGGGCTCTTGGTATAAAATCCTATCTGCACGTGTTGTGTTATTGCCCGACAGGCCCAGGAGCGGCTCTCCTTGAGGAGTAGCCCTTCTGCAGTCCCGCTCACAGGCTTCAGAAGGGAATGTGTAAGATCTACCAGTGCTATGAGGAGCAAATGCCACATCCTCCCTGAGCCTCTGGCAGGGTCTCTGCTATTGAGATTTGTTTTAGGATGATAATCTACACGACTCCTGTTTTTATCAAATTTATCTATAAAAAGAGCTGTATTTAAAAAAATCCACATACAGGGACAGCAGTAATTGGATATGACTCTTTGGATAACAGAGTGTCATGTGATGTGAACCATATATAGGCCACAGTTTAATACTGGGGCTGATTAATATTGAGTGAGCAGGTTACAGGCATAACATTTACAAAATGAAGCCTTGGGAGGCTGTGAATCTAGTGTCCAGTCCTAGCTTTCACTCACTTTAAATAAGTTAACATTTTTAAATAACTTCAGAATTTTACAAGTTACTTTTTTTTTAAACAACATAGGTTAATTTTTCATATTTAGTTTTATGCAAAGATGCCTACAAACTTTGTATTGAAGCTTGAGCTTTTCAAATCAGTAATGCAAAAAGACTTCTGACACATAGAAATGTCATACTACTTATATACAGAAATTAAGCAATCCTCTTAGTAATTTCATTTCTATATAACCAGTGTTTCTTTTTCACAGACTACTTTGCCATCCAGGAAAGGATTTAGGCACCAAACCACCAAGTTTTTATATCGTTTGGTGGGATCAGAAGATATGGCTGTGGACCAAAGTATTGTCAGCCCTTATACTTCTCGGATCTTGAAACCTTATATCAGGTATATGGAGAGGAGGTGTGATATCAACTATGTCACGAGGGATAGTGACTGTGATTTCTGTACCTTGTTCTTCAGTTGGAGAGAATTAAGACCAAAAACTGCTCCATTTATTCTCTGCTTGTTTTAACTATACTTTTTTGCAGAAAATGGTCCTTGAAAGAAATTTAAAAAGCAAGAATAAGTGAACTGTTAGATTCCTTCGTGATTATCATAATCATTGTTCTGTTTTAAGTATTAAAGTTGTATGTATTTACTAGTCTGTAAAATGAAAAAATAGGAAAGATATCTCATTCGAACCTATCTGAGGACTGGATGTTGGGACAGTTTCTAACGATGAGGTTTGCTGTCCAGGCAGTGAAGTGGAAGCTTAGCTTGCTAGAGAGGCCTGGCAGTGTCTGGCACTGAAGTGAGTGAGCACTGTTGCCCACTTGGGGCCCCAGGAGCGCTGCAGCTCCATGACTGCCCTGAGCCCCATGCCGGCATTGCGTTCTTGGACAGTTCGTGAGTCTGCCCCAGCGTCACCTTGTCTCCTGTGCTCTCCAACCGCCTGGCAAAGTCAGTGTTCCCCACTTTGGCCTCCACTGGCACTGGGGATGCACCCCTGTGTCTTAGCACTCCTCAGTTTGAACTCGATGCTGTTTTGTTTCCTCTCTGCGCCCATTAAGGCGCCTAGTACAGGCCCTGGTGGGTACAAAGTCAATTTTAGATTTCATACCAAAAAAGTTTATAACTAGCCTTAAGCTAGATGCCATATAAATCGGTGCCAAATAATTTAAAATTTCAAGATTTAAGAGTTTATGTGAGTCAAAAACTAGGAATAGCATGGGATATTTTTCTTGATTTGACTTTGTTTATTTTCTGTGGTACTGGAGGCGTGATTATGAAACAAAGCCACCCAAACTACAGCTCCTGTCACAGATTCGCTCCCATCTGCACAGGAGTGACCCTCACTGGACACCCGAGCCTGACGCACCTCTTGATTACTGCTATGTCCGGCCCAACCACATCCCGACGATCAACTCTATGTGTCAGGAGTTTTTCTGGCCTGGTATGTTCCTGCTTCCAAACCAGGCAGATAATTTTTCTGTGTGGTTCATTCTCGTACTTTTTAAAATTAGTGTATGTCATGTGACCCTAAGACTTTTACTCATGATTTGTTTAGTTTGTGTCTTTTAACAGAAAAGTATAAATACTTCTTCCTTTCCTAAAATCAGGAAGAAGCCAGCAATTCAAGTAATAAACAGTATTTTTGTTTCTCTTTCCTGCTTGTCTCTGTTTCCAGAATAAAAGATTCACCCTGTTTTGCTTCTGCATATATTTAGATACCAGGTAATATCTATGAGAGATACACAGGCTGGTAGCTTGGGTGTGTTTGGACACTTTGGTTTTGGCTTACTAATTCTTTATGTTTTGTTTAATTATATTGCTTAAAGAGTGTTAGTGGTGTCAACGGGTGTTTCTACAAAGCCGAGTACCCTGATCACAGACATTGAGAATAAGAGTAAACTCAATATGATTTGTCATTTTATCAGCCTTAAAACAATTTTCTTTGAAGACCAAAGGAACACATTTTAATTGGCAGATATAAACATATTCTTTGTGAATCTGTTACATAATAAGGAAACCTAAGGAAAGAGTACATGTCTTCCAGATGTTAGATAGCATTTTACCAAGTTTAGAGCTGTGGTGTCGTTACTGTCTGATGATGATGTAGCAGTCCATGTGGTGACAGAGTCCTCGTTCTTTTGGGAGTGGTCCTGGGCCCAAAGTAACGTTTTGGGAGCATCTCTGCGTCCTGGCCTCGTGTTAGATGTTTTCCATACATCATGCGTAGAATCGTTACCTGCTGCTTTGCTATGAAAGGCAGCATCCTTATGATGGTTTATAAATCGTGTGTGTCTGTGGTAATGAGTCTGGTGTGAGTCCTCGCAGGGAGTCTTTACCCCAACTCTCTCAGGCACTGAGGCCCTGAGACATTGTTAAATGTGCCGGGTCACACATGTGGAAGAGGAGGCTGAGTCCAGCGCCAGGTGCATCCAGTTCTGAGCCTGTGCCCTCCTGCCCGCTCTATCCTTCCCTTCTTCTATTAACATATGTATTTATAAAGTAACTATGTTAATTTTGATATTTTCTAAAATACATTTTTATTTTCATGATCTGAATGTGTGATATCTGTGGTAATACTTTGCTTCTATTATTTTTATTATTTTGATTTTTTAGCATGCAGGTGTAGTTATAGGTACAGACTGAACAGCCTGGTGTTCATTAATTGCAAAAGGCACACAGTTTGACTCTGGCTGTTTCTTGTCTTTAGGCATTGACCTGTCTGAGTGCCTGCAGTACCCAGATTTCAGTGTTGTTGTCCTTTATAAAAAAGTCATCATTGCCTTTGGCTTCATGGTTCCCGATGTGAAATACAATGAAGCCTACATTTCATTTCTGTTCGTCCATCCTGAATGGAGAAGAGCTGGGATTGCGACTTTCATGATCTATCACCTGATTCAGGTATGTTGTTTGTGCTTCTAATTTGCCATCTTGCCTCTGAGCACACCTGGAAGACTGGGAGGAGGAATAAGAGCTGAGCTGGTTCTTCCCAGCGTGGTCCAATGGGATGGGTTTCCGCGTGAAAGAAGGCCAGTCATCAGCCATTTATGAGGCTATAAAAGCATGTGGACAAAATCTCTGACCCTCCAAAATTAGATGATTATTGAGACCCAGGTTTCAAAGAAACTCCTTTGTGAGCATGTGTAGTAAATAAAATCAGAAAACACCAAGGGAGGACCTGAAGCAGATATACTCACCGTGTTAGTAACTTCTCCCCTTAGAATCACGTCACAGCACTGAGAAGTGGGAGTGGAACTGTGGTTTTATTGTTATAGACATTTTTGTACAACTGTATCAAAAGTAGTGTGCATTCTATTATTGCTGATCAGTTTTCACTTTTACTCTCATTATATAAGCTGATATGAAGCTTGTAAGACTTGATTCTAGTGATGAATTAGAATTTATCCTTTGATATGGTTGTATCACCTTGAAGAAGATATACCAAATCTTCAAATGCTAACATTAAAAAAAAGGATGTGAGCATTCTCCTTCCAGTTTTTCTAGTAACTTTTATCTAGTGCCCGGCTAGTTTTTCTGTAGAGAAAGGGTCTTGCTCTTGTTCAGGCTGGTCTCAAACTCCTGAGCTGAGGTGATCTACCCGCCTCGGCCTCCTAGAGTGCTGGGATTACAGCATGGGCCACCATGTCCAGCCTGTTTTTCCAGCTTTTTACTGACAGTTGCTTAATAATTCCCAAATATTGGCGGGAGCCTTGAGAACCATCGTCCTGGAAATTGCTCTTTTCTCTTGAGGCTGTGACTCCTGGGGAGTTAGCATGTGCTGCCTCCTCGGGTCCTTGTTTTCTCCTGAGACTGTCCCGTCATTTCTGCCACGCCGCCCTTCCTCTGCGCCAGCCGCCCATGGACTTGATCTCCAGTCTGTGTTCATCTGTCTGTCCTAACAGCTTACGGGAGTTTTCTGCTTTATCAGTTACCAGTAAGGGTCTGAGGATGGTCCTTTGACATGTCTGTGGTGTTGGTGCCTGGTGAAGGCCTGGCGCAGAGTCCGTTCTTGCTGAAGGTTTGCCAGGTGGGTGGAGGAGTGTTGGTCACTGTATGTGGGCACCTTGCCCCCAGTCTGGCCACATGCCTCAGGGCCCACACAGGAGGTTCTCAGTTGGTAGTCCTTGGTGCTGGCGTGGTCAGACTGTGGATGCTATGTCTCTGCAGTCTAAAGAACACTGACATCACCCCATAAAACTGACTTTAAAAACTGACCACAGGCTCTTGTCCTTGGTATACTAGTAATGCTCTTTTGTCCTAAAAATGTGTTTGGATGCACAGTGTGAGTTACGCAGAGAAAAGAAAAGAGCTGTTAAGATGGCCTTTGACAGAGAAGTTCTTAAACTGAGGCTTGGGGAACCAAGGGTTGTAAATCTTAAGGACTTTAAATCTTCAGTATTTCAGTGTCTTCACCATTAAAACCAAATCCTTAATTTATGTGACTTTTGTGATTCATTATTCAGCATGGCTGATTAAAGCATCTAAGAAGTTGCTTTGTGTTGACAGAATGATTATTACTCTTTTCACTTAAGATTAGGTCAATTGTAGAAATCTCAGTTCTTCTTTTTTTTTTTTTTGTGCTGCATTTCTTGGTTTTATTTGAAACTGTATATTTTTTAGCATTTTATGGTAGGATTTTATACTTGTCATTTACACAAATTATAAGATTCTGCTTCAAGTCTTTAAAAAATTTTTTAAAAATTCAGCCCATGTGCAGCCCAAGAATATGCAAAACTACTTTACATTATACACACTTTTTATCAAAGGAGATACAAAATTCTGGCTTGTAGTGTTTAGACAAATACAAGAAGCTCCAAACTACACACAAAGGGTTAACATTAATTTTCAAATATAAGTCTGCACTTCTGTTGTAGTTCTCTGAGATGTGAGTATACCAAATTCATAAGGGATTTAAAATTTTCCTTTTCATAGGAAAACAGAAATTGCCCGTAGACAAGTCCCTCCCTATTAGCTTGATATTTCTACCATCCACGTCTCATTCCCTTAGTGCCAGACACTTGCTTCACTAGGCCACCACATCAGGGTGGGCCATTTACATCTGCATGAGGACTGGATCTTTTAGCTCTTTTGCAAAAATCTAAATAAATTAGTGCACATGGTTCCCTGGACAATCAGTTAAAAAGGAGTGGGAGAAAAAGGTGAAGGTGAATGTACTCTTTTTTTCTTTTTTTTTTGAGACAGAGTCTCACTCTGTTGCCCAGGCTAAATAGAGTGCCATGGCATCATCAGAGCTCACAGCAACCTCAAACTCCTGGGTTCAATGATCCCTCTGCCTCAGCCTCCTGAGCAGCTGGGACTACAGGTGTCCACTATAACACCCAGCTAATTAGAAATCTCAGTTCTAAGGAGCTAGTTCTGCCGGTTTTAGAGAAATGGAAGTTGGACCTTGGGTCTCAGAAAGTCTGTGGAAGGTCCTCAGGTTTCTTAATTAGATTCTTAGTATTTTCTGTTTGTGCATCCTCAGGTTTC